CTGGTCCTTACAGCAGGCAGTGGGACGAGTCCTAACTCAGGGAAGTTCTTGGGTTCATCATGTCCTTATAAGCAATTACTTTCTGTGTGCAAGGTGCCATAAAGTCATACAGAAGCACAATGCAAATATCAAATGTCATTATTAAGTAAAGATTAATTATCTTTCTGGTTAGTTTTTTGTTTAGTTTTTTTTAAAAATTTTTTTGTGAAGGCCTCCAGCATGCATGCCTCAGACGCACTCAGACTTATTAATTACTGTTATTATGTAAAAGTGATACTGAAACATTATGTTGATAAATTGCTAATGGAGACAGGTATGAAACGGAAACCTGGATCTCACAGCTCCAAGTGCTCAGCTAATTTCCCTTGTGGTTTTGGAACTAAATGACCGAATTGAACCACAGACCCAAGTGCCCACGGCTGGGGAAGTGCAGCTGCAGATCTGTCCACCTCTCCTCTCTGCTGGGTACCTCCATAGTGAGAGGTGCCTTGGGGAAAAGCCCTTCCCAGCTACAGCATGTTTTATTCGGTATTACAATGGGTGATGTTCACAGACATCAGGGTTTTTGTTTGCAACACACTTAGATGAAAACACAACCCCTCAAAAATGTGGTTGAACAGGGAAGTGACTTTAGCTAATGTGTCAGGGAAGGCAAAATAAAATGCCTGGGTGAGCTTTCATCTTGTCTTAGCTCATCACGGAAGGTTTCGGTTCTTACAGAATCGTTCTTTAACTGGAGAACCCTACAAAGGATCGTTTTTGCTTCACTAGAATTAGCTGCACTAATTTTTGTTTGTTTTCCTCTTGTGGACTCATACAGGTGGAGTTCTGGCTCCATGGAAGCTGATGGCTGCTTTGCCATGGATATCAGTTGGGTCTGCATTTCTCCCTGAGGGAGGGAAGCCATTGGCTGCCCAGTCTTCCTGCTGTGTAGCTGAGTTGCATTTAGCTTTGGCAAGACTTGCGGTCCTGGTCAGGTTAGTAAGGTTTATTGAATGGGACTGGAAATAGAATTTCGTGTGAGCCGTGCCTGCAGCCTCTGATTCTTTCCTCCAGGGAACTTTGATGAATGCTCTATTGGAGCACCACCAGTCTTTGTGCTCCAGTGCTGCACTTAGCTTTCCCTGCAGCCTCTATGGCACCATTCCCATGGAAATGTTAGCTCTGTGCACTTCAGCTGAGCTTTGGAGCTGTTTTTGGAAGCTTTCTGAATGTCCCAGAGGTGCCCTTCAGGAGAGCATGCAAGTGGGGGCAGCATCTCTGAAAGACCATCTGTGGCAATGTTTTAAAGGCCACCCCACACAAAAACACCAACTCAGGTCTTGGAATCTGTCAAGCTGTTGATGCTGTATGCTCAGTTTAATTAGCCCACCTCTTTCCAGGCCATAATTAGCTCAGGTGCAGTCTCATCATGGCACGGTTGTGCTGCTTCCCATTCTAGAAACAGCCACAGCACCAAACTGCATGGCATGAACACCACCCTGGTCATCTCTGAACTTGAGATCTGAGCATCAGTTAATGATGGCACACCAGTGAGGAGGTGTTTTTCTCTTCTTCATTGCTCTTCTCTTTTCATTTGTCTTTACTTCCCAGGGACTTGTATGGTGCTTGGTGGACCACAGCGCTGATCTCAGGAAGAACCTGATGAATCCTGCTTTCTTGCAGTTAATATTCATAATGCAGAGCTTCAGGAGAATGTTAAAAGTAGAACAGTGAACGTATGATGATTGAACTTATTCTGAACACTACTCTGCTTCTTTTGCCTCCATTGCTTTGATCAGGGCTTGCTTCTTCCTTTCAATGGGCTGCCCAGCCCTCCAGCAAAAGGGAACTTTCTGAACAAACCCAACTCCTCCTTGGTAGCCTTTTGTTTTGACACTCAGAAGAAGGCAGATTTATAGACTTTCCTAAGTCGTAAGTTCATTTTCTTTTTATTTACCTTTCACTGCAGCCCATTCGGAGTGAGATCTCATTCTGCCTCCGAGCAGGGCTGACCTGCCAAGAGGAGATGATCCATAAATCTTCCCTTCCTTTTTCTTTCTTTCCAAAACAGAATTAGCTGAGTTTGCCTGGGAGGAAAACTGTTCTGCCATTGCCGGCAGTCAAACAGTGCAATTAATTAGTGCTTTCCCTTTTCTCTTCCCTCTAGTCTCTGTCTGATGGGGTTGAAAGTAAGCCAGGGAGGAGGGGGAAGGGACAAAAGAATGGAAAACGTTTTGTTTGAAGTATTTATATTTAATTAAAGCCTTTGCTATGTGATACAGCTCAGTGGTGGTGTCCCTTTTGCATCATGTCTAGTGGCCACAAGTTTAATCGAAGCATCCCAGCAGAGGAGCTGGAAGTCAGGACTTTCTCGTAGAAAACCACATTTTAAGAGGTCATCCTCCTTATGACCTCCTGAATCTGTGGCAGCTTCACCATTGGGTTGTGCTGCCTTCTCGTATCTCAGCTGGGAACATCAGAACAGTTGCTGTGCTGCTTGGGTAGGGAACAAATTCCTCATTTTGGGCTGCTGTTTGGGTTTCAAGTACAAAAGGATAATGGGTCAGAAGTGGAAAAGGTGTTTGTAGAATGAAAATGGAAAGTATGCATTCAGCTGAAACTGTTCTGCAGGGCAGGTTTGAAAAGGAAGATGCTCCATCTCTGCTCCTTCCCATTTTGGAAGACAGAGCATGTCACGGCAGTGCTGAGCAGACGAGAGCTGCTTGCCAGCATTCAATTTGCTGAAGATTAGGAAATTATTCCATTCTTACAATACTGTGGCAGCCCAGAAATATCGCTGAACTCTGGGGGATGTGAAATGGAGATCTAGCCTCAGATTTTGTTGTGTTTGGAAGCCAAAGCTTTATCAGAGTAAGAACTGTACAGATGGTTTAAGCCATATTAATAGTGTACCTTGACCCAATGGACTGGCTCAGCATCAACCACCTTTGAACTCCGGAATAACTATGTCCAGAACAAGACTGAACTTGCTCATTTTCTTTGTGATCCAGAAGCAATGCAGAGATGAGCTATTTCTGCTTCTTGTCCTCACTGCAGGGAGAGGAGGCTGCTAAAACATTGCCCCTTTCTGACCTCCAGCTTTCTCCATAGAAAGCCTCGAATCCCAGGTTTTTCTCCTACTGCTGTCCTTGCTCTGTCCTATCCATCCTGTGCCCTTATCACACCAAGGACAGAAAGCTGAGAAGCCTTCTACATGGCCAGACTGCACTTCAGCTGATGCTTCCATTATTTACAATCATTCCTAAAAGCACTCTCATGACTGTTGGGGTCGAGCCATAAGCAAAGGCTTCTCTTATGATCACACGTGATAAATAGACAGAAAGCTCTTGGTGTCAGCAGCCTCACCAATCTGTTTACCACTTAGAGCTCGCAGCAGCTTAGCAGTTGCAAACCACCACTTGTCCAGAAGTAGAAGAGCAGTTTCAGAAGTGCTGTAAGTAAATAAGAGTTCTGACGTGGGCACCAAAAATAAGCACGCGCTGAGCTTTTGGCCAGGTTGCAGTTGCTGACTGCTGAGCAGTTAGGAAAAAGTATCCCCTCCTTCAGGTGCTCAACAACCCCAGGGTCATCTGCTTCTCTCATAGCTAGCACTGCTTTGCCCTGCAAAAATAGCCAAGGTTGGAACCAGCACCGCCTGGCCCCTAAGGGACACAAGAAGGTTAAGTCCAGTCCTTTGTGGCACGTAAACTGGAGCTGAGGTTGACCCTTTTAGGTCACTTTAGCTGAAACATGGGAGGAAATCCATAGCTGGCTGGTGTCGATGGGTGCAGAAATACCACTGAGGGCAGAACTGGTACTGCGAGGCACAGGAGGCTTTCTCAACCCTGATTTATGCTCTTAGAGCTGCCATTGAGGTGGTAAATCAAGGCAGAGTGTTTGCCAGGTTGCTTGGCGATAGTAGAACTGCACAGGCATTGGTTGAAAGAAACCCACAGAAAGAAAATGCAGATACACTTTCCATAAGCAGTTGTTGGCTCAGCAATTCTGGTCTCCTGCCTTGGGTACTTTCTGGATGGTTTAAGTGAAATAGTGAAATAGTTTAAATGTAATGGAAGTGGAAATATTTTGCTTCTTTTTTCTTTTTTTTTTCTCGGTGTTGCAAAGATGTGGAGGAGAAAAGCAAGGCTCAAACTATTCCTGGCAAAATTTTCCAAACTTGCTTTGCAAGTGGCTGGATTTTGGATGTGAGAGAAGCAGATGTGGGGAGAAGTGCCAGCCAACAAGACACATGGCTCTGATCTGCTCCTGCATGGCATTTTACCTGGGATCTGAGTTGTGATCCCACAGCATTCATGCTGGGGAATATAGGTCAGCAGCAGGCCAGGCTGGCAACACCTTTCTCCTGCTGGTGAAGAGTTACCTGCTAAAATAGACTCACTGAAGCCTATAGATTATTATGTTCGTTAGTGGTGATTCATACTCAGAATTTCATAATCAGGCCTGCTGGTGTAATACGTTCCTTTCCACAGTACCATTTATCTTAAAGATCTCAGAATACTTTATGTACATTAAGCTTTAATCCGTGTTTTACCACCAGCGAGGCAGGTAAGGAGGATTGTTTCCATTTTGCAAATGAGGAAAACTGAGGTACAGGGTGAGAAAGTGACTTGCCCAAGATTCTGGAGGTTGTTTGTGGAGTTGTGTGCAGTGGCCATCTTTGAATGAGTGTACATTTCCCATGCGTGGCCCCAGACACCTAAAAGGGATATTTACTTTCCTGGGGTTAAGGCTGAGCAGAAATCCATCTATAGTTGTGAGGTTTGAAGGGAATTAGAAATTCCTGCAGCGTCTGGGGATGTTTAAATTTGCCATCCCCAACTGAAGTGTTGGGGCAGAACTGCTGGTTTGCTTTTAGGGCTGGTATCAGCCAGTTGGTATAAGACGTAGAATTAAGAGGTAGTGAAGAAACACAGTTTGGAAGAGAAATCTCTCGACAGCTCTCATTTTCCATCCATATTACCACTGAACTGACCTTTGTCTGCTTTCTTCCCTGCCAGGGTCCCCTTCTCTGAGGGCATATCCTCTCATCTCCGTTATCACCAGGCAGCCCTCCGTTGTCCCTCACCTCGTTCCGGCTGCCACCAGCTCCCATGTGCTGCCAGCCCAGACCTCAGCGACTGCGAGCTCAGAGACGCCAGCCAGCGAGACCCACGGCAGCAGTGAGTCGGAGGCAGAGCAGCCCACACCTCGGTTAAAAAAGCCACGCAGGAGTCGGACCATCTTCACAGAGCTCCAGCTGATGGGCTTGGAGAAGAAATTCCAGAAGCAGAAGTATTTGTCTACACCCGACAGGTAGGAATCCGCTGGGCTGGGGAGGGGGATCCAAGCAGCCCATTGCAGCTTGGGCTCTCTACTATCTACCACCAACTACAGTCGTTTTGCTGTGCAGAATGCACTTGTCTTCATCTGCTTTATCTGAGCAGTCCATTCAAATGCTCGTTGCTCCCTTTTCTTCATTCTGGCAGGCACTGATCTGAAAGACAGATCACACCTTGTGCACATCTGTAGCTCCCTTCTGTCCCTCCTCCCTTCTGTCCCTCCTCAACGTGGGGACAGCCAGACATGGCTGAAACTATCTACAGGCCTGAGCGTGGCTATAAATATTGCTTAGAAAGGAGCAGGAAAATACTGTTTCCTAAACTAGGAGAAGGACAGGGAGCAAAAGGGTTGAAGCAGGCCTGCTCAGCTGTCCCCATACTGAGTGCTCCCTGGCTGCAATGTGCTGCTTTCTAGCTTCACGGCGATGCCTCTGCTGTTGGCCGAGGACATGGGCAGATGACCTGAATAAATTTCAACGCTTACTTCTCTTGGGATCAAAGATGACACGAATAGGCTGTATCAATGGAAATGTCACATGGTGATAGATGTGCCTGCTAGCAGGCATCCCGGCTCAGAGATGTGCAAGAAGCTGAGCAAAGGCTCTTTCTTCTTTCCTGTTCTTGCTCCAAACCCTTGGGAAAAGATGCAGCCTGGTTTCCTGCTGGGATGCTGAGGTGGATGGCTCTGTCTCCGTGGCAGCTGGGAGGTTGGCTGTAGCTTCAGCTTGCTGCTGAACTAGCTCTCATCTGGCAAACATGGCTAGCAATTCAGTGAGCAGTTAGTGGTCTGTCCGTCAGGGAGAGAGCCTGGGATGCATAGATGTGAAGGCTGCCTTGCCCCATCTTGAATTCTCAGGGACTGCTTGGTACCAAATAGACAAACTAAAATTAGGAGAGGTTTTGTTCATTTTAAAGGCTTTGAATTCTACTCTGCAAATTTAAATTACAGGCAAAAGCCTCGTCCAATTCCCATTCAGTCTGTAAACCTAGGGAGGGTTGGAAAGGTTCACCAGACCTTGAACTCCACGGATGGCAGAATCCCAATATTTAAAATGGTTTTGAAGTCAGCACACTCCACTTGTACTGCCTGTCACCAAAGCCAAGGATCACAGCTAGACCGAATTTCATGAGCAGGTCTGAATGTCTCATACAGCTTTAGATCCTAATGCTCCTGTAGTGACTCCTCCCAGCGTCACATAAGCAGATTGTTGACACCATTGATGAAGCACTCAGGGCTGGTAAATTAATTTAGTAGTATGACTGTTCCTTGGCTTTGTCTGTGTTAGAGCCTGGTGAGCGATTCCTGTCCCTGCACCACTTCCCCTGTTTGTTTCCTTGGGTTTCCAGGCAATGCTGACTACAGTAATGTGTGTGGCAAGAGATGGCAACTGGCTGCAGGTAATCAGAGTGTGATAACATGCATTATGGCAAGTTAGCCAAGCAGTGTTTCTCTCTCTGAACTCATGGCTGGAAACGTGATGGTGAAGCAATGGATTGTGATCTGTGTTCAGTCCTGTAGCTTTTGGCTTAGGCACAAGATTGTGCTGGTTAGAGGGCAAATGGAGCACCTGGTTTGTTCGTAGTAAAGGAGAGAGCAGTGTGATGCGATAATGCCTCTGCCACATTCTCAGACAACACTGATAGTATTTTTAAGTCAATGGGATATCACACTGTATAGAAGCGTAGGCAGCAGGGAATCTAAAGTGGGGAAAAGCGTGAAGCCAGGAGTGTGTATGTGAGCACAGAGCTGGTGTGGGGTGCGTAGGTGTTTGTAAATACACGAGTGAGCCTGACTGCCCGAGGAGCCTAGCTGAAACAGAAATGCTATTGTGAACAACTTGGCCTTGACAAGTGTGCTTTCTCCCGTGCAGAAATAGGGAAATATTCTGTCAGAAAGCTCATACAGTCCAGAACACCTCGGAATGTGGCTCTGGGTTTGGGCTGTCCCACCTGTGGGATTTGCGTGACTCTGTGGGGCACCTGCCTGGCGTTGCTGAGGATTTCCAACTCTGCCTCTTGTGCAACTCCATTACAACACTGCCAGATGCATGGTACCATCACCTGTGGGGAAGGATAAAGAGCTAGCCTGAGCTGCATTTGCTTCATATCCTGAGTTTTAATATAGAAATAATGAATGGTTTCAGATGAACTAGCACAGGTTGGAGAAATGCGGAGGATGAATCAGGATTATGGGCTGTCTGCCACACATACCCTTAAGCTAAACACGCAAATAATAAATTCGTTTATAAGCTTAAATTGCCTATAATAGCACAATGCATAAGAAATTAATAGATTTAGATGTACTACTGCTCTTTGAGAAATGAAAAAGTATCATTATCCTCATTATGTAGGTAGTGAAGATGAAATATGATACAAAAAGCAACGCTTTCACAGGCAGACTGATGCCAGGTGTCTTGCTTCTTGCGTGGTTGCTTCAGACAGCATGGACCTATTTTTCAGGAATGCTGTGTACCAGCAGCTCCCTGCCTCGTGCACAAATGTGGAGCATCAGCAGTCAGCATACAGCAGTCCTGTGTTTGAAAAAGAGCAAGCAAACCTCCGAAGCTTTTAGACTTGGCCATTTGTCCATCAACACCTTAACCATTCTTTCTTCTCCCGTAACAGCAACTATCTTTACACCCCGAGAGAAGCAAAGCGATCCTTTCTGGCAGTCCTGCTGCTGTGTGGTTGGCTGCCATTGGCATCTGGGTGCTCCTGGTCCTCTGTCAGCCCCTTGCAGTGTCTGTCTTCTCTTCCAGGCTCGACTTAGCGCAGTCGCTGGGGTTGACCCAGCTCCAGGTGAAGACGTGGTACCAGAACCGCAGGATGAAGTGGAAGAAAATGGTAAGGGGTTTGGTATCGTTTCTCTTAGTCTTTGCAAACTGCTTTTGAAAGAATGGATTCTGAAGCTGAGCGTAGCGTCAGTGATTTGTGTCTATTTATAGTAAATCTCGTTTTCTTCTTGCTGAATTCGCCCATAATTTTCTTAGAAATGTGCTTTTTTTATCTATAAAAAGCTCACGTTGGAGTGTGAGTGGTAGGCTGGAGGTACAACAAGCAGTAGGAAGAATGTGGAGCTGAGGGATGAAAGAAACTAGAACAGAGGGAAGAATCAAACTATGTACCTCTGCATTTTTGGCATTATAATATTAAATGCTAATTTAGAAGCCAAAGTGGAACTGGCAAGAGAACAGACAGTCAGAAGCAATCCTGGCTAAAGTTTGAGTGTTCTTACTTGGGCTTTAAATAGATCAAATGCTCATGAAAGGGTCTGAATTGTGCATAAAATCTTTATGTAATGTTGAGGACTGCGTGATCAGATCACTTTGGGGGCTGCTGTAGAAACTGGCTCGGATGGCTCCATCTGAATTCCGAGTGTCCTTGCTGGTATTTTTTGCATTTAGTTTTAGTTGTATGAGAAAATGATTGAACTCACTGTGTGAATGCAGGGAATTTCTCTGAAGCTGAACGGTGTCCGCAGGTCACGTCTGAAGTCACATTTCATCCTCTCTCTAAAGGAAGCCTCACAGCAGTGAAGTTCAGGTGGATCTGACTGTTAATCTCTTTGCTCCAGGTGTTGAAAGGTGGGCAGGAAGCTCCAACGAAGCCCAAGGGCCGTCCAAAGAAAAACTCCATTCCCACCTCAGAGGAAATCGAAGCAGAAGAGAAAATGAACAGCCAGGCTCAGAGTCAGGAGGCGGAGGGATCTCAAGCCCCCGAGGAGCCTAAAGTGACAGAGGAGAAGCCAGAAGTCTCTTTGGAGACAGAAAAGTCTCCAGAACATATACCAGAGCCCTCCTCAGAGGAGGCTACGCCATTAAGTTAAAGGGAAAAAGAGAAGGGAGAGGGAAAAAAAGAAAAAGCAAAGAGAGAAACCAAAACCAAATATATATGTGTGTATATATATATTTAAATATGTATGTAATTGTTGGTGTGTACATATATATATAAATATATATATATATATATATATATATATGTAGACCTTGTGTATAAGTTGAAAGATTGGTCACTTTGTGCCTTTGGGAATCAGCCATCATGGGCCACGGTGGAACAAAGATGTCCAGTGTGAGCAGTGGCACATGTAAGCCTTCCCACAGAGAACGATGGAGACCTGGATGTATTTCCAGAGAAAACCATGTCCAGAAAGTCCAGACAGCTCCTGGCAAATAAAGGAGAAGGCCAGGGCTCCTTTCCTGCGGAGGGAGGCAGATGTGAGGTGGTACAGCTGTGTTGGAGGGTTCCGTGTGTTCGCTTGGCTTTATCCTTGCCTTTAAAAGTAGTGCAAATGGACTTGGCCTGGTCTTGGATCAGGGACAGCAAAGAAATGGGGAGCTCTGACAGCACCATTTCGACTTGTAACCAGCACTTATTTCTGTTAGGGATGGGCCCAACTGAAACATTTTGGGGGAAGAGTTCAGACACATGGGTTTGCTTTGGCCCAGTATAGAGACCAAAGCTTCTGAAGAGAGACTCATACCCAGGTCAGCACTCAGATTTCGTGTCTCGTGGTTATTTGGGTGCCTTGTCTGTGAATTTGCAGTGATCCAGGATAAAACATCGAAGGAGTTGAGGGTTTGGATTTGAGTCTGCTCCAAAAGCTTTGGAATGCTTGGATCTGGGATTTTTGCTTTGGGCCCACTTCTAATTTTTCTAGGGTTTTTAAAGAACATTTAAACGTTTCCAGGGTTTGGGGAGAAGGATGAATTTAAGAAGTTGCTGCAGAAAGTTCGCGTTTGTTTAAGATGTGTGCCAAGAATAGACGTGCATCGTGTTTCCTAAAGTCTTGTTAAGGGTGCATTTTGCCCAAAGGCTGCAAGAGATGTATTAAGATAACCTTTATTTTTTAATTAAAACTGAAATATATAAACAAACCAGTTGTTGTTGTTTCTCTTTCAGAATGCTAGGCAGACTTTTCTGGGTTAGGTCATTCGTTCTAACAAACCCTGGAGAACATGGGAGTCACCCAGCTTGCTGTAACCCTCCTGGGCAGGAGGCACTGTGCATGCTTCTTGCAGCACCTTGCTGAGGTAGGTGAGGATGCTGCCCATGTCACCTTGTCACTGGGTGCAGGGCAATGTCTCAGGGTGTTCTTGCTGGTTTGTCACTTCCCCTGCTGCACATCGAGCTAATAAAATAGCATCTCTGACCCTGCCCTTTTTTGGGGGGAAGTGGGGAATAATAATTCACACACACAGTTCTCACTTGACTTACCCAAGGAGTGTTATATGAGGAGAAAGGATTTCTTTTTTTTCCCCATTTCTTGCTCAGTGATGTTTGGAAGGATCTTAGTCCACCTCAGCATCAGCTCTGCATCTTCACAGACATTTACAGCAGTACTCCATGCATAGCAAAGCTCCCACTGACTTCAAACAAGAGCATTGCTGCACGCACTGTGCAGTGCTGACTTAAAACATTGCAGCCAGCTTTGAAAAGGCTTCTGCAGATTTGAGTGCATCTGAAGAAAAAAAGAGAAAACATCCACCAGAGTTGAGCAGTGCTCTTTTGTAAGAAACATAGAAAATCTCAGGCATGTTACACCATTTAACATTTGTACCTGGAGGTAGAAATGGGACCAAAGAGCTCCCACTTACCTGCTGTGTTGGAAACGTGGGCTGGGAGCTACAAAGAGTTTCCTCTGCCATTAAAACACGTGGAGATCAGTTTTTGAAGCATTGTTCTTTAACAGAGCCCTAACAAATTCGTGACAGGCCCAAAGAGAGGCAGGGGTGGCAGAGCAGAATTTTGGCTCTTGTTGGATGGAGTCACGATGCTGAGTGTTGTTGCAGATTCTTTATCTGTGGAAGTCTTTTTTAAAGTAAAACAACTTTAGTTCAACCGTATCTGCTGGACTTGAAATGGCATTTAATTTTAAAAAGGCCCACGGCCTGTTTATACAAGAATGAGATTAGATGGTCTATGAACTGTATAATTGTCAGGTATTGTTCTTGGATAGTAGCAACAGCACTATTATCTCAAAATAAAACGTTTCTACAAGTCTTAAGTGTGGTATTACTCAGGATGAAGGGAGCAATTTACTGGAAATAATTTTTTCTAATGGGTTGCACCACTTAGTTTGGAGTTCATCGGGTTTGGAAGCAAGAAGAGGGGCACTGAATCAAAACCATCAGATTTTGTGTGCACATCATCCCATAAACAACAGCAAAAAACAAAACCAACAGGAAAAGCCAACAACGTCTCCTTCAGGGAGCATCAAAGATATTCTGATTGCACTGAGTTCAAAGTGGAAAAAATATCCTCCAGTGCATTTTTCTATAGATTTTTGGAGATGGATATTGAGCATAGCATCTTGGAAACTTTAATTGTTGGTGTATACCCTTTCTTTCATCCAAAATGTGTTCCACAAAGTAGAAAACAGATGTGGGATTTCGTACTGATAGCCAGTGCATTTATCTAATTTGAGGAATTTTAATGGATTTGTATGGTGATGGGGTAGAAATATAGAAACAGGAAAAATGGCTTTCCTCCCTCCGTAGCAGGAGGTGGTTTTTGGTGTTTCTGTGCTATTCGAGGAAAAAGATAAATTCAAAATTACAGAATTTAGAAAATTCTAAGGAAGATGAATTTCTAAATCACGAGCAGATTTGGTGATTTTCCAGCAAAGAGCTTTGGGGAAATGTCACTTCCCACTTCCCAGATGAAAATAATTGTTTCTGACTCAACCCTACTTCACAGTGGGAACAATTCCAGCGATATTTTTTTGGTTGTTAATCCCATTCTAATCACTTATGAGTCAATCTGGGTGAGAATGCAATACTCTAGCTGCCTGGGCTAGTTTTTAATGAGTCCATAAGACATTGAAGATGTTTTTGTTCCCCTTTTGGATGAGCAGCAGTCTTAGCATCTTATTTTTCAATGCGTTGAAGGGCAAAATTAGCTCTCTTAAATGCTGTTTCATACTTGCTTACTCTGAATTACTTTCACTGACTTTGCTGAGAGCTTCTTGAATGGAAAGCCTGTTCAGAATGTGTATGTTGAGATGGAACGAAAACAGCAGGGGATAAGTGGTAAAACCATTGAATTACCTCTTGGATAAATCTTTTCAAATTTCTCTCTTCTGTGTCACATCTGCAGATGGAGAAAAACACCTACAAATTCTGGTGGAGTTGAACATGCTGATCCCATCCCTTGATAGTAGACAAGAGATCCTTCTCTTGTTTTAGGACTCTCCTCCATTGGGTTTATTTCTCCTCTCATCACTGGAACACAAACAACTGAGCAATGCTTATCCGTTTCACTTTGGGCTGAGCTCAGATAGGCTTCAAGGCTGGGCTGCAGAAAGCATGGCTGTGCAAAGCCAGCCTTCATTTGGAGCTGAGGTTGCTCTGCAGCAGTGCTCATCTCTCAAGCCCAGCTCCAAGTTGTGTTGGCTTTGTGCTCCTGGGATCGGGAGAAACACGACAAGTCTCCCTCTATGCACCCTTCTACAGAAATGAGGGACTTGAGAGCTTCTTTGCAGAGCCAAAGCCTTCCACATTAATGATTTAAGGCTATTTTTTAGGGTTCCATCTCCCAGGTACCAACATCTCCTATCCTAGAGTGGCTTGTCACTTATCGGGGGGTCAGATCAGAGAGGTGCCCTTGAGGTTGAGCCTTGCGACTGTGCAGGGGCATTTGGCTTCCAGTTCTAACAGCAAGAAACAAGCCCTGATGTTGAAATCCAAACTCCCCTACAGGGATGGAAAGCGCTGATATCCGGAGCTCTGGCTGACACCCACCTTTTGTTGTACCCACGTTTAGATAATTTTGCAAAGCACTGAGCTCATCCTGCAAAATGGTATGTTTCCCCCAGGTCCCAGCAAGGATGAATGGGCTGTCGTCCAGTATTTTAAAAAAAAAAAAGGTTTAGCCCCAGGGCAGTACAAAGGCATTGGTGTTGGGGTGGGTTTTCAGTTCCCCTTTGTTTCCATCACTTGCTTCAGGAAGAAAATGGAGGAGGAAAGTAAAAAAGCTATGGGTGAACAAAGAGGGGAGAATGATGTGAAAGGAAAAAAGCTGAAAAGCTTAACTGAATCGAATTATGAAAAATAAAAACCAGAAGGGAAGTAATTTTTTTGAAAATTCAACTTTCCTTAGAAAAAGATATGATAAATGAAGAAAGCTCTGGCTGTGTAAAGGCAGATTGATTGCTGGGGTTTAACTACAGAGGCACTGAACAATGTATTACAGGTTTTTCACAAGTTTCCTCTTACACCGTACAATTAAAATGTAATTGAGTAAAGATCATTTGGATTACATTTATACTACAATACAAGATTTGGGCCCAAATCCACATCTTGAAAAAGACATTGGTTTGAAGCACAGATCTGGAATCTGGGATGCTGAATGTGAACAGCCTGTGAGAAACTCACTCTTCTCCATCTCAAGGTGTGTTACCACCAGGTTGGATTTACCAGGTTTCACCATAAACTTTAGAATAAGTGGTCTGGGGGCACCAGTCTTCTAAACAGGGCAGGCTTTCCCCAGCTCTAGCTCCTTCCCATGTTGCTCATCTCGAACATACTGTCCCAACGCACAGAAATAATTACACCTTAGCTTGGCAGTAACAGGAAGGAAGCTTCTTATCATGCTGGGATCCATAAGTGCCAAAAGGGAGATGTGTGCTGCTTGGCTGCTGCCAGTGGAGAGAGTGCAACCCCTCCAGGCTGTTCTGACATGTCCGTTAGCTGCTGGAAACACTGAAGCACTTGTTATTCATACAATTGAGAGTCATAGAGTTACTCACAGAGAGAGACTCCTGAAATCATCCTGGTCGTGGGCAGCCTGCAAGCAATGGGAGCTTTTGTTCCCCAGAGATTAGTGAGAAATGCTTTCTT